AGCACCCACATGGCAGCTAACAACTGTCCGTAACTCCAGTCCCAGGAGATCCGACAGCCTCATCTGACCTCCTTGGCATTGAACGACACGGGTGCACTTACCTACATGCAAGCAATACACACATACACATAAAATTAAAATAATAAATAAAATATAAAAAAGAGATATGACTTGCAAAAAAATAAAAATAAATAAATATATTGAGAGCACCTACCTCTGAGGTCAAATTTGATTGTTACATAACAAGAGCTCACAAAAGGACTAATTTAAAACACTGGGGCTCCTCCTTCAGAATCCTACATCAGTGGTTTGCAAAGTTATCATGGGTGGAAATCACCTGGGAGATCCTTTGAATTCTATATGCCCGGACCAGAGATCGTCTCAGTGGGCCAGGATCTGATGAGGACATGACTCCAACTGCCTGCAGGGGAACCTCCACCCCACCCCCCACCTTGCCCCCTACAACTTTGTATTTACGTGTGCATCCTCTGGACATGTGATTGCTCACTCTGAGCCTGCTTCCTCTCCTATAAAATGTGACTGATCAGGGGCAGCAGATAGCTACGGGGAAGACGAGGAACCGCCAGGGGTAAGTTGTGTGTGGTGTGCTGACAGCGCTATGTGGGGACATTGGCAGTGTTGCATGTGTTGCGGGAGGGGTACTGGCAGAACTGTAGAGTGCATCCAGCAGCCATATTACATGGTACATGCCTAGAATCCCAGTACTACGGAGGTGAAGCAGGAGGATCATGAATTCAAGGCCTGCCTGGGCTACAGAGCCAGACCCTGTCTCAAAAGAGAAGGGGACCGGAGGGATGGATCAGTGGCCAAAGTGTTTGCCATGCAAGCCTGAGGACCAGAGTTTGGATTCCCTGGAGCCCATATAAATGCTGGCTGGGCTTAGCAGCTTGCCTGTGATTTCAGCACTCGGAAGGCAGAGACGGAATCCTGGAGCCAGCTGACTGCCTAGAGTGGCAGCACTGGTGAGCTCTGGGATCATTTAGGAGGCCCTGCCTCAGTGTGTAAGGAGAGTAATCATGGAGGCTCCCAATGTGAAAACATCAACCTTGGGCCTACACACACACACACACACACACACACACACACACACACACACACACACATGCACGCATGCATGCACGCAAGCATGCACAATGAATTTAAAAAGCATTCACTGGGTCACTTTCTTCCTAATGTCCTAGTTCCCTTCAGTTCACATGACTTTGTGGCTTTGAGAAGGAAAGTTTTTTCCAATTGATTAGAATGCAGCATCCCTGACAAAGTCCAGGTTCAGTTGTCAGCCAAGAAAGCACCATGTGTCGGTTCCACTTTCTCCTTTGGGACAAAATGACCGCCCAACATGAATCTGCCATGCAGGACACAGCTGCTGCTACTGACCAACTAGAGGCTAAAAGAAACCCAAGACCTCTGTTCCCGCTCAACCCCGGAGAGGCTGGCATCCAGGTTTTTCATGAGGCCACCTGCACAGAGCCAGAGCCGCAGCTCCAGTTTCCTAATGGGTCACTGCCAGTTTCTGCCTTGGAGCAAAAGCACTGAAAGCCTCCAGTCTGAAAAGGGCGACTACTTTGAGCTAGAAGGACCTAGAGGAATGCCTCAAATCATCCTTAATTCCTAGGTGTCTGTCCCCTGGGGCCAAGGCAGCAGAGGAAGGTTTACCACCCTCAAACTCCGCAACCAGACAGCATGGGGTAGGAGACGAGGGGTGGGAGCCGCTAGGAACCTCAGGTGAGCCACCAGCAAAGGGAAAAGCAAAAGGGAAAAAAAGTGTATGTGGGGCTCACTCAAAAGGGAGAACAGCCATGAGGCTGGGCTCCCAGTGTGGGGAGAGACGCCCTGAAGCTCTGACCACGGCTTTATAAGCACATATCAAGGAGAGAGGGATGCCTTGAAGCAATGTTGTACCTAGAGGCCACACACTTCCCTGCCAGGAGCCGATTTCCGGCCAGGGATCTGTGGTTTCATAAACATGCCAAGCGCTGTCTGCAAACCAAGTCCTACATAACCATTCTTCAAATAAATGCAGATCAGACATGGACGCAGATCACACATGTATAAATGTGTCTGAGTGGCTGTGCTTTGATACTGGGTAGTTTTTCCCTAATCACTTAACAAGCAAAACAATAACTACATGGTGTCTTAAATTTCCAGTGTTCAAGGAGGCTTTCACTTTGAAAGGTATAAAGGAATTAATTTACTTAGCCACCAGAGAGGGCAGGAAGAAGAAATCCTCAAATAGCACACAGGTATGGCCCCATCACCTGTCTTTGTCAATAAAGTTTTATTGCAACACAGCTAGAGTTTATCTGCAGTTCAGGGGGGCAAAGACCATACTATGATACAGAAAACTTAAAATATTTAACATTTGGCTCTCTACAGAAAGAGCTTGCCAAACTCTAGTATAGTGTATCATAGCTATTAAAATACAGAACTGGGGCCAGGCATGGTAGAGCACGCCTTTAATCCCAGCACACCAGGAGGCAGAGGCAGGCAGATTTCTGTGAGATCAAGGTCAGTCTGGTCCACATAGCAATTTCCAGGCCAACCAGGGCTACAAAGTGAGACCCTATCCCCAAATTTTTTTTAAACTAGGGGCTAGAGAGATGGCTCAGTGGTTAAAAGCACTGGCTGCTCTTGCAGAGGACCCGGGTTTGATTCCCAGCACCTACATGGCAGCTAACAACTATTTATAACTCCAGTTCTAGGGGATTTGACATCCTTTTCTGACCTCCAAGGACACAGCACGACATGGGTGCATTTACATGCATGCAGGCAATACACTCATATACATAAAATAAAAATAATAAATAAAATTTTTTTTTAATTTTTTTTAAAGTTTTTTTTTTTTTAAACTGCAGGCTGGGGAAATAGTTGAGTTGGGAATTCATGTTTTTAAAAAGCTGGGCAATAGGGCACATGCTTGAGTCCCAGCACTGGGAAGGTGGACACAGGAGGGTCCCTATAGCTGAACCAGTGAGCCCAGCTCCCAGTGAAGAGCTTCTCTATTTAAAAAAAAAAAAAAATCTGGGTGTGGTGGTGCACACCCTTAATCCCAGCACTCGGGAGGCAGAGGCAGGCGGATCTCTGTGAGTCCAAGGCCGGCCTGGTCTACATAGTGAGTTCCAGGACAGCTGGGGCTACAGGGAGACCCTGTCTCAAAAAGACAAAAAAAAAAAAATAACAAGGTTGAGGAACCACACCCAAGTTTGTCCTCTGGCCTACACACACACACACACACACACACACACGCACGCACGCACGCACGCACGCACGCTCACACACGCATGCACACGCGCACACACACGCACACGCACGCGCACACACGCACGCGCACTCACAACATAACATGCACACACATACACACATGCACATTTCACACACACACATTTTAAAAATTAAAAAATAATAACAGAATCAGGCTGGCAAGACGGCTCAGGGGGTGAGGACACCAGCCACCAGGCCTGATGACCTGAGTTCAATCTTAGGGACCCACATGGTGGAAGGAGAGAACCAGCTCCTCCCAGAAACTGTCCTCTGCCCTGCACACACACACTGTGAGATGTATAGCTACATGTGCACACACATGCAAATGTATTTGTTTGGAAAACAGAGCCAACACAAAGCATATATGTATGCGCATACAGAAACAGATGTTTAAGCTACCACTCTGAAGACATCTCTGAAGACAATTCTAAGCCTCGCCTGCCTGCTGAGGTGGGAGCTGTTCCCTTTAGCTTGCTGAGCTGACGACTAGAAGACAAGAGAGGTAAGCGGACTCTGGGCATGGGGGCGGGGGGGACCTGCCTGTGGCATGCCCCAGACCTCTGCTAGCCTTAATCCATTAAATACTTTGTGTGTCCCTTAAGGCCACAACTGCTCAAATTTTCTTCCCCTTTTCTGTGCCTTGGGTCTGAGGGGAGAAAAGAAAAAACCCAGAGAAAAGATATAAGCCAAAACATCACTGTGGCTTTACATGTCACGGAACAGGCAGGCATGCCCACAAGGTGCAGCTGTACAGAACAGGGCCTGGTTCCCCACATGGACAGCCTGCACTGAAAAGCACCAGAACGAGGCTGAAGGAGCCCTGTGGCTGACCAGTCTGCCCTTCTGCAGTTAATCGTCGGCAAGCCCTGCCTCAGGCTTGTAAGAGGCACAAGCATGTTTGGGGGAAGATCTGGTCTCATAGGGCAAATCCATCCTCATAGGGAAGATCTGTCCTCAGGGAGCTCCCAAGTCTCCCGCTCCTCCAGAAGGCTCCTCAACACTCAGGGCATCCACACAGGGAAGGCGTGAACAACCCGGATGGGGCCCGACACCCCCAATACTCTGCCACCAACTTGTCCCTTAACCCAACAGCATCACAGCATCTTAAAAGCACACTTCTTGCCCATTAACAGCCAACGAGTCAAATTAGATTGAAGACCCTGAGAGGCAGACCATGCACAGTCCAGCCAGCTTCTGGCCCTCACGGCTTCCTGCTCTCCCGCAGCAGTACCTCCCCCTCCCCCTTCCCGGCTTGTGTTTATTCTGTGGAGTATGACAGTGTTGCTCAGACAGTCCATGTGTCTCTCCGCACAGCTCTCCAATGCCTAGAACCTTCTCTGCTGCCTGCAGGCACCCTTCCCTGTCCTGGGAGCAGCCACCATTCCATCCCATGAAGACTCTCTTAAAGGTCTGCTATTTGGGGCTGGAGAGATGGCTCAGTGGTTAAGAGCACTGGCTGCTCTTGCAGAGGACCCAGGTTCACTTCCCAACACCCACATGGCAATTAACAACTGTCCATAATTCCAGTTCCAGGGAATCCAATGCCCTCTTCTAACCTCCTCGAGCACTGCACAACACAGGTGCACTTAAAACACATGCAGGCAATACACTCATATACATAGAATAAAAATAATAAAATATTTTCTAAGTTTTCTATTTGTAAGAAAAGCAGAAAGAGAAATATTAAGTGTATATAAATCATTCAAAGACCATGATGATTCTATATAAAGGTCAATTTAATCCAACCTCAGTTTAAAAACTCGGAAGTCACACCCTCCACAGGAGGTAATCACAGGCTTCCCGATGAAGTCAGGGAAGGGGTTTGTAAGCTCAGGACCTCAGCAGAGGCCTTGAGAATCCTCAGCTCTTCTGTCCACAATGCTTCCACCAAACTGAGTTGATCTATCAAGGACACTTTTCTCTCCTTCATGTCGGAAACCTGCAAATTATTTTCAAAATAAATTTTATTATAGTAAAGTAGAAATACCTTATAAAATTACCATTTTTCATTGTTTTTAAGTTCGCAGTTCATTGGCTGCAAATCCATTCATGTGGTATGGCCATCACAACTATTCACCTCCCAATTACTTTTATGACCATAAAGGAATCACTCCAAGGAATAATCAGTAATTAGTATGTAATTAGTAAGCCAGCTCCCCTCTCCCCTAGCCCGTGGTGACTGTGCTCTACCGTCTGTCTCTATGAACCTGCCTGGTCTGGGTACCTCATTTAAGTGGACTCAAGGAATATTTGCCCTTTAGTATTTACTCAATTAATTTTAAATTTAAATTTTTTGTATTTATTAAATTTACTAAATTAAAACAGAAGAGCTATTGGCAGCTGATTATTGCTGGGTGGGGAACAGCTGATCCTCTCCTTGGGAGGGACTCTAAATAGGTTGACTAGATGTCAGTGGATGAACTTGCACTGAGGGATGTCTGGAGACTAACTTGACTGGATAGGCCTTAACATCAATAACAGAATACATGAAATCCAGTGGGAGGCTATGGGAGGATGCCAATGGGGAAGGGGATATAAGGGTGATTAAAATGTTCTGTATGGGGCTGGGTGTGGTGGCGCATGCCTTTAGTCCCAGCACTCGGGAGGCAGAGGCAGGCGGATCGTTGTGAGTTCAAGGCCAGCCTGGTCTACATAGTGAGTTCAGGTCAGCTGGGACTACAGAAAGACCCTGCCTCAAAAAGACCAAAAAAAAAAAAAAAAAAAGTGCTCTGTATGAAATACACATACATTCAATAAAAAAAATATATTAAAAAAGTGGAAAAATACTTGAAAATCTATTACTAAGAAATCATGCAATAATTTCTATCTACTTACAGATAAAGCAAAAATACAGAATCAACTCAAATGCCCAACAATAGATGAATAGAGAAGATGTTGTAATACCTGCACACGGAACAGTCTCTAAAAAGAAGAGGTGATGAAGCTCAGTGGTAGAGTGTGTGTCAAGCAGATGTGAGGCCCCGGGTTACATCCCCAGCACCAAAGAAAAAGGGAAGTGTGCTGGATAGCTTTAGTGTCAACTTGACACACCTGGGTTGAGGGAGCCTGTTGGGGAATTGCCTCCATTGGACTGGCCTGTGGCCATGTCTGAGGGGCATCTTCTTGATGAGTGAGGTGGAAAGCCCCGCCCCACTGTGGGTGGTGCCCCCCCGGGGCAGGTGGGCCTGTGTTGTGGGCCAGGGGAGCAAGCCAGTAAGCAGCATTCCTCCATGGCCTGTGCTCCAGATCCTGCCTCCAGGTTCCTGCCCTCAGTTCCTACCTTGGGCTCCCTGATGAATTGAGACCTGGGAGATGTAAGACAAACCCTTTCCTCCCCAACTTGGTATTGATCAGAGTATTTTGACACAGCAATGAAGAACAAACTAAGACAGGAAGGGAAGGAGAAACAGACCCTACTAACTGTGACATGAATGAACCTAGAGGACATTAGGCTAAATAAAATGAGTCAGGCACACAAAACCAAAAGCAACACGTCCTCGCCTACACGTTCAGTGTAGAGTGGACTACACAGAATCAGATTAGAATGGTGGTTAAATACTGAGCAGAGGACTGACTGAAAGGTTCGTCCAAGGACACACAAGCTCAGTAGAAAGGAAGAACAAACTCCAGAGCTCTGCCGTGCAGCATGGTGACTATAGTTTGAACAAGATGCATAATTTTACTTTAAAGTGGTTAAGAAAGTACATTTTAAGAACTTTCATCACACAAAAAAATGTTTAAGAGGCATGCACATGTGAAATGGCTTGATTAAGCAATTCCACAAGGTATGTATGCGTCAAAGTATTATCGTGTATTGTATACCATATATAAAATTTTGGAAGGGGTGCACATATCTGTGTATGCATGTGGAGGCCAGAGGTGGGCACTGAATGTATGTTAACTGTCAGCCTCTACCGTTTTCCACCCTTAATTTTTTTTTCAGTCAGGGTCTCTCAACCTGGAGCTCGGAGTCTAGGCTGGGCTAGCTGGCCAGTGAGCCCCAAGGATGCACCTATCTCCCGCACTGAAGTGGATGCTCGCTACACCTAGCTTTTATGGGTGCTAGGGAGCCAAACTTGGGTCCTCATGTTCACACAGTGAGCATTTCATCTACCACTGAGGCATCTCCCCAGCCGTGTGTGTGTGTGTGTGTGTGTGTGTGTGTGTGTGTGTGTGTAATAAAATAGTGTAGATATGTTAACACAGTCAAATATAGAGACTGCAACATTCATTTATGAAGATTTTCAGCACTGCCCTAACAACATGTAAGTTCCCAGTCAAAAGGCTTATTCCAGAAAAGCAGGTAACAGCCAGAGCTCACCTTCTGAAGCACAACCATCGTCTCTTCTATGAAAGAGCAGCATATTTTCTGGGCTGTGTCCAAACTTGTCTTCTCATTTGTGTCTGAGATCACTTCCCCAAGCAGTATTTTTTTCCAGCATGTACTAAAACCAAAACATCCAAAAAGATGTCAGCAGGTTCTCCAGGTTATTCTAGAAAACAACATTCAAACTGGAGTGCAACAAACTGTCATCCTTTTCTTCCAGATCACAGGGAAGCTCATTCCATAGACACTGACAGGGAACAGAGGAAGTGGCTAGGAGGAAATCAAGAGGTGGTTGGTTAGCTGCCGCTCTCTGCCAGTCCAGACTGAATTTTATTAGCATTGCAACCTGGTACCTGGCACATAGCAGCTGGAGTCATACTCAGCAACTGAACACAGCAAGAGACAAAACCGTAAGGGACAGACAGGGAAAACAAAGGCCAGAAGAGTCCGCAGCTAAGGCATTGGTGTGCGCCTTCTCTCTGACAGTCTCTCCTAAAAGATAACCACCCAGAGCCTATTTCACACTGCCAATGCCCTACATATGGAAGACATCTACATCTAGGTCTTTCTCTCCATGCAAGTCAATCAGTCTGCTAAGAGCACCCCAGTTTACAGGATGCAGGACTCAAAGGAAAGATGATGCCAGTGTTCCTCAGAACGAAGACTGTGGGTATGTCAAGGCAGGCACCAGGGAGCCCAAACAGGACATGGAGCCACAATGGTGCAAAGCCAGGTCTTGGCACGAGGAAGAAGCATGAGCCAGGGAGAAAGGATGGAGGGCAGGCTGTAGAGACAGAGAATCTAGGGTGTGGGCAGAAGTCGTTTAGAAGGGGAAGGTACGATGGCAGCTACTCATGCAAGTGCAAGTAGACACAGCAGGACAGACAGACAACAGCTGACAGGACTCCACAGGTAACAGACTTCAAGTCTTCAGCTTTAGAGACGAGAGCCGAAAGCTCATAAAGAGATGAAGAGATAGCGTCTCACAGGAAAGCCGGAGTTACTGTCACACTGTCCCAGCTACAACTAACTTAATCTTGACCATTCTCTATAACATAACTATCCCACATTAGACTCAAAGAAATAAAAGAGGGAAAGATGGAGACCCTGCTCTACAAGACCAAACTGATGGGTGGCAGAGATGGCAGTCAACCATGCCACTCACATAAGTGATCCAAAGGGAAGAAATGCGTCCCAGGAATAACTTCCAAAAAGACGCTTTCCTTCGCTTAAAGAGGCCTGCCACATACCTTGTTCCCCCAGGAGTTTCTGGCTACTTACCTGGGTCCATACAAAATCAAATGAAATATCCATCAAATGAACAAAGAACACAGGACAACACAAAGTGAGAGAGAAAAAGACAGGACAGCCAGGCAAGAGCCGAGGATGAGCCAAGCGCATCCTGAGCACATGCTGTGCACTGGGTGAACCACAAACGTGCTGAGCTCTCTAGTGAACAACACAAAGAAGGCAACGTCCCAGGAACAGAATCCATACAACCCGCTAACCCTTCAACAGCTTGGGAGTCAGGGGAGTGCACACACACACACAGTCAGAAGTCTGAACGTAAAGTCTGACTACCCCAGATGTAGTGACTATCTTCTGGTTTATCGTAAAGTTGTATGAATCTTTCACCTTTTACAAAAACACAACAGTAGCCTGCTACGGACTAGAAGAAGCCTTAATAATAACAAAGACAGTGGATTAGAAGATACTACATATATATATATATATAATAGATACATACTTATTACACACGATGAAAACTAAGAGAAAACCTGGGGGAGCATTTTTCCTGTTAATACCTCATTTAGAGGTATAAGCACAGCTCAGGGTGAGCTGGTGAGCATCACGCGACAACCACAGGAACTGCAACGCTGAACTCACTGCACGCACTCCAGGTAAAGCCCACAGTGCTGCTGCAGCTAACAGCATGTGCTCGTGAACCACTATTTCATCTTTTCATGCCTGTGCATTTCTCTTGACTGTGAATAGCACCATCTACCGTCTATAAGTCCATGCATCTGTTTAGACATTTTTTTAACTTTTTACAATACATTTGCCTATATAGAAGTAAATGATAAAATGGACAATTATGTATATATTCTTCATCTACACCTAACTTTTTCTTAATTTTTTTCAATATTTCTAGGCAATTCAGTCATGTGCAAGTTTCTTCAAATTATTGCAAACTTAAAAAAAAAAAAAAAACCCACTTATAAGTAGACCTCACAGTACAAACCTGTGCTGTCCAAGGGTGACCTGTATTTCTGGCGTTGAGACCAGGGAGTAGTTTTATTCTCCCAGTTCCCACAGGAAAGGAGCCTGAGTCAGCCCTGTGCTCTGGGCCACGTCTAAGCACTGTAACTGAGCCCTCCCATCCCCTGGAAGGCAAGCCTCATCAACTGCCAGATGCCCTCCCCACAAGCTGAGCAGCAATGAGATGGAAGGTGCCCTCCTGCACAGGCCTGGGCAGCACAGCCACATGCACTCACAGGTAGCTCTGGGACGCAACCAACCAGGAAGCATGTCCACATTGGGTTCCTCTACCTGCCTCCGTCATGGAAAACGCTCTCTTTCAGCAGAGCCTCTGGATCAGCCCAGGGGCAGAACTGGGGTCCAGGAGACACAGGACCTGGTTAGGAGCTCTGCCTGCTACCAGGGAAAACCCACTGACAGAGACTTGCCTCAGAACAGTGCCAGTGCTGACAGCATATGGCCACTAATTCTAAACAGTGACATCGGGTCACCAGGGGAAGGGGAAGTGTCTGTTCTCAGAGCCTTGTACTCTGATTATTACCCTAACACCAAAGCTCCAGAAAAGGTGACGACACACTAGTGAGGCACCACACACAAGCAAGCCACTTCCGGCAGAAGCAGCTCCTGCGCACAATGCCATTTCCTTCTCTTCAGGCTGAACATCTAGACGGAAGCCCCGAGGCCTCCCCAGTCCTCCCCACCCAAAAACCCCAATCTATATCCACAGAACAGACACCACTTAAAACCAACATGTGCAACTTACAATTCCTCAGCCTCCATACATAACAACTTAAGAGCCGTGAGTAACCTCCAAGATGGTCCATCCCAGCCAAATGTCAAGTTTCTACAACAGAAAAACAGGCAACAGCAAATCTATCACTTCATGACACCATGACAGCATGACAAGTACCTGAGGGGTCCATCTTCGGTTTTAAGTGGGCACCTATGACATTACGTTACCTGCAGCCTTGGTCAGAGCGGCATGATAAAAATGAATCTGCAAATATTTGTAAATACAGCTAAAGTAACTGAAAAATCTTTGTGTGGTTTTATTCCAAGGTGAAAAAGCATTTTCTAATCAATTTCAATAAGAGGCTGAACTTGGTTGAAAGAGCCATAGCAAAAGGGCTTTGTAACTATGCCAGTTTACAGTGAAATAGACGAGCAAGATCTTGGGTCATTCTAGACATCAAGCAAATACAGCCACCACATCCAGCCTCACATATTGCTGGATGATACAAAGCCTGATTTGATCCAGGAAAGGAAATGTGGAAAGGGAACTCTGTCTGTCCCACTACCCCTGATCTGTATGCCGTCTGACAGACTCTGCTATGGTGGAAACTCTGTCTGTCCCACTACCCCTGACCTGTATGCCAGCTGACAGACTCTGCTATGGTGGAAACTCTGTCTGTCCCACTACCCCTGACCTGTATGCCAGCTGACAGACTCTGCTATGGTGGAAACTCTGTCTATCCCACTACCCCTGACCTGTATGCTGGCTGACAGACTCTGCTATGGTGGAAACTCTGTCTATCCCACTACCCCTGACCTGTATGCCAGCTGACAGACTCTGCTCCAGTCAGTCTGGCCCAGTGCCATCCCACCTGACCACATGGGGGAGACAAACTCACCCTGACCACCTATTGATATGCACGGAACTCACTTTGGGCACAGCAGTATTTTAGTGTTGTCTCTCACATTCCCTAACAAGTATCTTCCCCACAACACTGAGCACAACATGACAACTCGTGGTAAGAACTTAATAAATCCCTACCGTCAGCTGATACAGAGTCAGAGGTGCCATGCCTACCAAAACCTGAACCCTCCATTTTTTCATGCCAATTCCATAAAGGAAAAATTTCAAGATAGAAGAACACTCACTCTGCAAAGCCGTGATCCTTTAAAATGGACATCTTCTTGTGCATCTGTTTGTCTGTCGGTGGAAGATATTTAACAAGCATTTCTACATTGACAAAAGAAGAAAAACAAAATCAGAGCTTTAGGGTATAATTCAGACAAAAGTCCATGTTCCCTTCAGCCTGCTTTCCCTCCCACTAGCAGTCAAGACGCTTATAAACCATTTCCTCATTCACACAAAGGGGTGTACTCTTCAAGGCCAAGTCACTGAATGCATTACTCTCTGGAAAGCTGTAAGAATTCTAAGGCTGAGGTTGGAAAATGTCTAGAAGCTAGGCTGTGGTCCACTAAGCAAATCCACCAGCACAACCAGTTATTATATTGGAGCCACTGCTGGGAAGTCAGCCAGGAAGAACAGGCTCTGTGGAAACTGACAAGCAGATCTAAGGAGCAGGCCGGGAAAGGATTTTTGTTTTGTTTTTGAGTGCTGAGGGGCTTGCACATCTACATTTTAAAAGGGAAACAAAATCAAGGATCTCGGATGTCATTCTGACAAAAGGCATCTTCCCAGTCCTTCAGCAAGGGCCTTCCACAGGCTAGGCAACGGCTCTGCCACAGAGCCAATCCCCAGCCCCTACTCCATGTTTAAATGTACAAACAAATAAAATGTAATCTTTGTTCAAGCTGATTTGCTTGGCAACTACAAATATTTCAGAGCCGCCAGTACTGCAATTAAGAGGACTCTGAAAAACGAAGTCAGTCTCAACGCTACTTTTCTAAAAGCACTCTACAAGAACCAGTTTGGGCTTTTGTTTTTAAATAATTTTATTTGGGTGGGAGGGTGTGTGTATTTAAGGTGAAAGGATGACTTGTGGAGGTCCGTGGTCATTTCTCTCCTTTCACTTGGGTCCCAGGGATTGAACTTGGGTGGTCAAGTTTGGTAGCAAGCACCTGTCCCCACTGAGCCATCTCTCCAGCCTTCGCTCTTACATCTTCTGCCTGAGAAGTATGATTGCTATTTCGTCTACAGGATGAGACTTGCTACATTCATTTGAACTTTTACATAAGTACCCCAAATATACACTGAGAAATCTCTAGCCACTTACTCCTGGCCTAAGAACTCTTCACCTGCTCCTCCAGAGGGAAAACAAGATCACTCTCTCTTCTAGTTCATATTTTTAGTACGCAATTTGTAATTGCAAACCATAAGCTGAATTACGATAATAACAGTGATGGTGTATAGACCACACAACATGAATGAACTGAGGATCCAGTGAGGGCCTGGCATGTGCATGCTGGACAAGCAGTCCACCACTGAACTAGTCACGGTCCAGAGTACACTGCCCTCCATGGTGGGGACAGTGTCTTACACACAGGCGGTGCGTAATCAGTTTTTTCTCGTTGCTCTGTTTCTTACTCTGTCTTCAGTGACAGTGACAACATCTTGGGACAAACGTTTCTACCCCCTCCCGTCGCTGACTGACACACTCACTTCCTCAGCAGCTTCCCGATTTCCACCCCCTCCTCTCCACACCCTCGGTACCAAGCAGCTTTGCTCAAGTTCAGTCAGTAAGGGCAAGCCAGCTCTCCCTGAGACAAGCTAGTGGTGCATATAAGATTTTGCTATTTCTATTACAACAGGAAATACCCTCTCCTAACAGGAAAAGGTGACACTGTCTCAACAAGAGCAGGGCCAACTCTGACCTCCTGAGATGGGAACACAGGCATGAGGGTTGTGGCGAGAGATGAAGCCATACTCCAGGAGCAGCTGGCGGTCATCATGGGGGCCGTAGCAGATGAACACCTGCTCGTGCTTCCTACAGCCCGAGGCCGTTCTGATTTCGTAGCAGCCAGTTTTCTCATTAAACGCTGCTTTTACCTAGGATGGAAAGGTGTGAGATTTCGCCTTTCATTGTAACTCTACAAAGCTGATCAGGTCATCGTATTAAGTGAGATGCAGTTTCAAACGCTCGGCCACTTCTGGACTCCAGTCCATTTCCTTCCCGAGACTAGACTTGACCCCACAGGTGAGGGAAGAAGTCTTGCCATAGGCTCTAGGAATGACCAAACACATGGCACCTTACTCTGGTCAGGTAAGACCAACAGGAGTCAACCTGTCACAAATATAGCCTAAGAGAAGAAAGTACGGTGGTGCCAAGAAGAAGCCACAAAGTGTGTCCGTCTCTCCCAGCTCTGGCTGGGCTCAGTCACAAGTCTATTTGTTCACAATCCTTTAAACTCGGGCCACCCACCAACATGACACAGTTGTGTCCTTCCCAGGCTGATCTACAGTCACTGGTCTGAAGCAAAAATTTCCCTAAAAGCAGCAATGAGAATAAAGCGAGGCCCCTGGGGACTGAGTCCGCGTGCAGCATCCTACAAACCCCACATCATTCACCAGCGTTGGCCACAGACCCTCACGTGAACCACAGGCTTTTGTACTGGAGTCTGCAGAGAATGCATCTCCCTATAGCAGTGGCCAGTACAGGGGCTAGGGACCGCCCAGGGACAAGAGGACAAGCAGGACCCTCCGAGCCCTCCTGCCTCTGCCACGCGGCACAGAAGGCGATGCTGACCTGTTCGTGGTGGTGTGTCAGGTTAGGGCAAAAGCACAGGCACAGATCCCATCCCACCATTCCGTGAATGGGTTACAGGTGAGCTGACAGGCTCTTCTCTATCCTCCAAGCCAAACTTTTCTCCCAGCATGCCCTGCAAATGGCTGCATCTCCAGCATGTGCCAATGGGAAAGGGCTGGGGAGGAGGCATCTGTGACTGCATCTCCCGGGGTAGAATCCTTTCATGATTCCCCAGACCCCTCTGCCCACAAGTATTCATCCATTAAGTAACATTTACTGAATCCTACTACATGGCAAGCTTGCTCCGAGCACTGGGGTTACAAAGAAGAAGAATACAAATCCCCAACCTCAAAGATTTCAGTCTGTCCTTAGTCAGAGCAAAGACACACACACATGCGGATGGCCGTGCCAACGTGTACAAGGAATGGGACAGGAAAGCAAGTAGACCTTGCCCGAGCCTCCAACGAGCAAGAAGCAAAGAAGGCTCCGCACCACAGCTGACGAAGGGTGATCCAGGGCACACGGTAGAGGACCCCGCAGGCCCGGGTGGCAGCAGAGGACAGCGAAGGGGAAGGCTGCTGGAATGGCAGCAGGGCTGGGTCAAGGCTCAGCCTGAAGCCAACTACTCCCCCCGCCATGGCTTCATTCATGATTCAAAACCTACATGTGGGAATCTCTACATGTGTGACACATGTCTCCCAGTCAGCTTCTTACCTGGACATGCGGGCTGTGGTTGAGCAGATCCAGGTACGGAGCAAGCGCTTGTGTGTCTGGCTCTGCGGAGAGGCAGTCCTGCCTCCTAGGTCTCATGTACACAGCTCTGGTGTTCACAGTGCACCAGGCCCACAGGAAGGCATCATAGCTGAAGATGCCGTCCACGGCCTCTACAAACAGAGGCTGCAAGGAAGAGAAAAAGCTTCTGGAGGAAGCAAAGAAGTCCTGCACGTGGGCCCTCTGCTCTTTGGCCTTTGCTCTTAAAGGTTCGGGAAGAAGATCTACCACTTCTGGCTCCAAACAGACAGGGCAGGTATATGACTGGGGTAGAATGTCCAGGTAAGGCTTCCAGAGGGACCGGTTCCCAGCATGCTTTTCTGAGATTAAAAAGGTACACAGCGCCAGCACAGGAGATGGGGGTGGCTTCCACCTTGGAAAACGAAAAGATGATTGAGGAATTACTTTAACGTGTGGAATAAGCTAAACAGCTTGTTTTTCCTGGGGGCTGTGCACAAGCCGTAAGGCTGTGTCTGCAGTGTTCCCAACAAGCCACCATTGCGTCAGAAAAGCTGACTGCCAATGCAGCTTCCAAGGCTAGTAACAAGATTCCTTCTGGCAAAAAAATCTTCTTACTTCTATATTGACAGCTCTGCCATACGTGTGCTTGTGTTATCTTGTAAGGGGTATAATGTGAGGAGGGGAGAAGGATGGAAAGGCCCTAGACCTGCACCATCACAGTAAACACTGGGTCATGTGACTATTTAAATTATTTACAACTAAGTAATATTTAAAATTCATTTCTTTAGTGACATAAGCCACAGTCCAATTAACTCAATAGGAATTTGTGACTACTGGCTACCATATTGGATAACGCAGAACAAAACCTCTGTTGCTGAACGCTCTAGTAGACGGTACCATCGAGACTAGACACTGTCTATGCTTACCGTATACTGAAAGGGTTCTCAAGCCTTTGCTCATAAACTCATGGGTTCTAAGACAAATCATTGTTTTACTAATAATTACTCATGAATGATTCCCCTGCAGCATAAACATATTTAGAAAAGTAATTATTTACCTTTCAAAGTCTACATTCTACTCAGTTTCTGAATGATTCAGAAAATAAACCCTCAGTATATAGGCCACTACATAGACCCATAAAGAGCAGGAAATCACAGAGCTTAAGGTTAAGAAGTAGCACGCTTGACCTCTGAAATTCAGAAACCACTTCTGCTGAGGATCCCACTCACTCTGTCCTCGGGTGTTCCAAAACGAAGGCCACCACAGTATGATTCAGAAAGTGGTTCTAACACCTGTGTGGCCTGTTGTCACCTATACATAAATCAATCTCGTTCTTGCAGTGTCAAATCCTTTCACGGTTGAAGACATCAAGCTAGTACAGTAGGGAAACTGAAGGACAGAAAACCTTCATCTGCAAGACCCACAAGGATGGGGAAACAGGCTACTAGCAGACAAGGCAGCATTGTGGTTTATGTGTACGACCCCGTTTCATCCTTATTTTCTAGTAATGAGGAAAGGATTCACACTCACATCCCAGGCAGCCTATCAAAGACCTTAGAAATGCAGTTCACACTGAATTAAGAACAAACCTAGAACAGAGTAAACCTTTCAAACATTCCAGCTATTTCTTACTCAGACAAGGGCTGGGTCCTCCTGAACTGTGCCATAGGTGACTGTGCTGGCTAGCTTTAGTGTCAACTTGACACACCTGGGTTGAGGGAGCCCCAGTTGGAGAACTGCCTCCATAGGACTGACCTGTGGCCATGTCTGAAGGGCATCTTCTTGATGAGTGATATGGGAGGGCCCAGCCCACTGTGGGTGGTGCCACCCCTGGGCAGGTGGGCCTGTGTTGTATAAGAAAGCAGGCTGAGCAGGGGCCAGAGGAGCAAGCCAGTAAGCAGCGTTCCTCCATGGCCTGTGCTCCAGCTCCTGATTCCAGGTTCCTGCCGTGAGTTCCTACCTTGGGCTCCTGGATGAACTGTGACCCGGGATATGTAAGCTAAATAAACCCTTTCCTCCCCAAGTTGGTAGTGGTCAGAGTATTTTGTCACATCAATGAAGAACAAACTAGAACAGCGACATATATGCCAATGGGAGAGGCTTTTGAGAGGCAGCGCTGGCACTAGACCAGCAAGTATGGTCACTTACTTCTTAAGGTAGGGCCCTAAGAAGCTTCGAATCACTGTGTCCGTGGTGAGCAGACAGCTCTCAGGCAATGAAATAATCATCTGTCCCTCCTTGTCAAAGAGAAAATAAAAACTTTAAGTCACTATGCTTTGGAAAGGACCTGAGAGAGAGCTGTACAGCACTGGATCCCAGGATCACATACCAAGAACCCCCCGTGACCCCACCAATGAGCCCACCAGAGGACTCGCTCCCAGTTCTGAGGCAGCAGATACACAAGGCTACTGGGCACCACAGCTGCAACGTCACCAGGGTGCAAAGGCCTCAGGGGGCCGACACCCTCTTGTCAACCTTGAATTGCTCCTTCACTTTCATATGCTAAGAAGTATGATATCTAGGGGAACAGACAGAAAACACCCCCAAAATACTGCCAGTCATAGGGACATAAACCTCGAGCCCCAGCTAGAATGTGAGGAGCAGTTACTTCCAGGAATCCGGTGTCAGTATCCACAGTTACAATTGTTTTCTTAAAAAAAAAAAAAAAAAATGCTAGCCAGGCATGGTAGTACACGCTTGTAATCCTGGTACTCAGGAAATTAAGCTGGGAGAATCATGAATTCCAGGCCAGACTTGGCTGCACAGCAAGACCCTGTCTAGGCAAAGGAAAAAAGAATATCCAGCAAAATCTAAACGACCAGGCAGTGGCCTACTCTCTTCGTGGCCTGGGTCATCAGGCTTTAGAAAGGGCAGCTATAAACATAATAAATAAAATATTTTTTAAAAGGAAGTGGGGCTGGAGAGATGGCTCAGCGGTTAAGAGCACTGACTGCTCTTGCAGAGGAGCCAGGTTCAATTCCCAGCACCCACATGGCAGCTACAAACAGTCCTTAACTCCAGTTCCAGGGGAATCCGAAGCCCTCTTCTCATCTCCACGGCACTGCATGACACAGGTGCACTCACACACATTCAGGCAATACACTCGTACACATAAAAGTAATAAGCCGGGCGTGGTAACGCACACCTGTAGTCCCAGCACTTGGGAGGCAGAGGCAGACGGATCTCTGTGAGCTCAAGGCCAGCCTGGTCTACATAGTGAGTTCCAGGACAGCTGGGGCTACAAGGAGACCCTGCTTCAAAAAGACAAAAAATTTAAATAAATAAATAAATAAAATAAATAAATAAATAAGTAAATAAATAAAAACAATAAAATATTTTTTAAAAAAAGAAAGGGCAGCTGACGCAGTGCAGCCAAGGATCTAAATGTACCATTTGCAAAAGGGCAACTTTCAGTTTCTCCAGAGACAGAGCCTCGGGGGGAGGGGAAGCTAAGGTGTAAGGTAGCAGCAGTGGACAGCAGAACACCAGCAAGACACCGAAGAAAAAGCAGCACAACATCCTGCTTTCGAGCCGACTAGCAGCTTAAGTGGGTTGAACCTCCAGGAATAGACCACCAGGTTTCAGCACTGGATCCTGAGTCTCTACAAAGCAAGATGAAGCTGGACTGATCACTACCAACTGTGAACAAAAGTCCCCAGAAAAAATCTACCTTGGAATGAACTTCTTGCAAGACTGACCAACTGATTAGCATGTTGATGGCTGTGGAGAGTCTAGAATGACGCAGATCCAGAGGCTATTTACCATTTATCTTGGGCTATGTTTAGCCCCTCAATAGCCATTCCTTGCCCACCTGTTTCTGACTTTTAACATCTTATGACTAACAGATAAAAACCTTTAAGATATATCAACTTAAAAGCTTCCACAATGGAACACAGAATTTGGGGTGACCTGTATCTGTGTTCCCGGCCCATGGTCACTCATATTTGGCTCCAGAATAAACTACCTCTTAATCCTCTTTGAGGTGAGAGTTGTGCTTTTACATCAACAAAACTATTTCAGCTCCAACATGACAGGGCTTTTCTATTAAAACAAAAAAAGCCACATATAAAATAGTCTGTATTTTGCTTGGGGATGTGTTTCTTTATCAAAACAAAAAAAAGTAACAAACTACACATTTAAGACCTGTGGCTTTCATCACATATAAAATGTTTATTTTCAAAAAACCTTCATAAAAAATACACATTTGAACATACATGCGGTCAGGTGTGGCAGCACAGACCTGTAATCCCGGTACTCCAGAAATGGAGGCAGGAGGACTGAGAGTTTGAGAACAGCCGAGGTTACACAGCATGACTCAAAAAGTGCAAGGGAGGGGCTGGGGAGGTGGCTCTGTGGTTCAGAGCACTAGTGGCTCTTCCAGTTCAAGTCCTAGGACCCACATCAGATGGCTCACAACTGCCTGAACTCCACCCACACACAGGTGGCATTCACACACAGACATACACACATACACATAAAAACAAAACTAAAATACATTTTTAAAAAATGAGGGGGCTGGAGAGATGGCTCAGTGGTTAAGAACACTGGTTGTTCTTGCAGAAGACCCGGGTTCGAATCCCAGCACCCACATGGCAGCTAACAACTGTCTGTCACTCCAGTCCCAGTGGATCCAACAGCCTCTTCTGACCTCCTTGGGCATTGCACGACATGGGTGCACTTATCTACATGCAGGAAATACACACACATAAAATTTAAATAAAGTTTTAAAAATGAAGGCAGGGAAAGGAAGAAAGCAAACGTCCACCTCCATTTTGTGCTCTGAACAGAATCCACCTGTAACACTGCTGCGGACCTGAGGGTACGGCTTGCCTTCCCAGATGTGGCTTCAGAGAAAAGCTAGTCACACTCTCCTTAAAAGTGAACCACTGGCCAGGCCTGTAATCCCAGAGGCAGGCAGATCTCTGCGAGATCAAGGCCAGACTGCTCTACATAGGGAGTTCCAGGCCAGCTAGGGGTACAGGGAGACCATGTCTCAAAACACACACACATACACACACACACACACACACATACACACACACACACACACACACACACACACACACACACACACACACACACGGATAAAAACAACAAACAAATCCAGAAATACTGGGCTGGTGAGATGGCTCAGCAGGGGCAAATGCCTCAGGCATATGACCTGAGTTTGATTCCCCAAAAAGGTAGAAGGACAGAATCGACTCTGCAAATAACAAATTCAATGATAAATAACTAAAAGATAAATGAAGAGACTAAAATATTTTAAAGTAACAAAAAACAGAACTACTATATACTAATGTGACTTAACTGCAGTAAAACTGATAAAAATTTATGTTGTGTATAATTTACAATTTTAAATTTTTTAATATTAAAACCATAACAGCATAATAAAATCACAACATAGAAATGTAACATTCTTTTGGCTAAACATATATAGAGGACTAAGTTTAAACAAAATTAAGGAATTAAAAATAAATATGGGGCTAGGGCTACGGTTCGGTGATGAAGCATGTGTTTAGCATATGTGAGACCCATAGGTAATACAAACACCAAGATACACAAAAATTTTAACAAATTAAATAAATACATTTAAATGATTTCAAAATTTTTATTTTTGTGCATGTGTGTGTATCTGCTTATCTGTATATGCACCATGTATGTGGAGTGCCTGCGGAGGCCAACAGAGGGCGTTGGACCTCCTGGAACTGGAGTTGTGAGTAGCCCAGTGTGGGTGCTGGGAACCCAACACAGATCCTCTACAAGAACAGCAAGTGCTCTTAACTGCTGAACCAGCTCAGGATTTTAAAGGAACTGATTTCTAACTTTAGAGAAAACTATACATTGGGTAATACTTTAAAATAGCACAGAACAAAACTAAAGGGGACTTTGGAAATCAGGCTTTCTAGTCAAGAAAACGAGCTAAAAGGACGGGACCCACCACTGGAAGCATGCCTGCAGCAGGCTCTGAGCCCCTCCCCACTTACCCACATTCTACTTCCCATGCTGGGCACAGACCTTAGGCAAAAGCAGCTAGCTACCCTGGCCTTTAATAATACAATCTGAATTCTGAACTTGCTGTGGAGGGTACGGTTAATGTCCTACCCCAGCTTCTCCCTTCCTCCTCCCAAGAGTCCCAGCAGACGGCACAGAGCCAGGGAAAGGACAGCACACACTCCTTCCTTTGCAGTTCCTAGTCATCTGAGTGATGGCCAATGAGACGGGCCGGACCATCCTTAAAAGGAGGAAGCAGGAAGCCTGCACTCCTACCTTGTTCCCTCTTATAGCTCAAACTGCCTGGGGAGTGACGGAGCTGGAAGGAGTCTGGGCCTCTGAAGGACTAACAAATCTGTTCCCTCTAGGATTAAATGACAGCAAAATAGACTTCCATGATGTTTCAGCACCGGAACTTACGCATTTGTCTTTCATACTCAGCAAGCTTAAGGCTCCCTGGCACTATCCTAACCAAACAAGCCATGTGTTAGTAAGAGAAATGCCTACAGTAGAGAGGCGAGATACATTTAATCCACTTGATGTAAGTCACAAACAAAGCAGCAACTTCCATCTTGGGTGTCAAGGATGAAAGAGAAGTCCTCACCTGCAGGGAGGTTTTGCTCATCAGCCCTCTTCCTGTTCCTAGAAGAGCGAAGACATAAAAGGGGTAAATCCTGCTGCATCCTCAACAGTCTGGACATGCCCTTGGGATTAAAAGAGTGTCAAAATCATACAAAGCTGAAGCTGGGGGTCTCTCCATCTTTGACTCCCAGGGAAGCTGTTCTAGAAGCTGTCCTGACCTCTGCATATACCTCCATGAATAGCAAAGTAGGGTTCAGGGTTGCGATCTAAAGGCCTTAGACACAGGGATAAGCCAGACACCATTTTCTTCAACTACTGAAGAACTCCATACAGTACAATCTAAGAAGATAACTTTGACTGACCATCCTTTGACACATAAAAAGAAAGTTAAATACTCCATCCATGGTTGACAGTATAGTTCACAATCATAAACAAAGGCCTTAATCAAAAAAACGGTCCTATGAAATTGCCAGAAACAAAACAGAGGCACTTACATCAAATCCTGACAAGTAAAGCCAGAGAAAGTCATGAAGGAAACTCTTAACACTTGATAGTCTTAGAACAGGAGCTAGCACAAAATATTCTGCTAAAACTATACCTTCATTTATGTATCTTTATAGATGCTTCTGGGAGACTTTATTTATATATCTTTACAGATGCCTCTAGGAGACTGCCTGCCCAGCAATCATCTGTTCAACATTAGACGCACCCAGCCCTTGTTACTGATCCTGTGGCTGTGAATAATTGTTTCAAAATAACTACATAACCGTTTTCATTTTGCCTTTAAAACCTTGTCTTTCTTTGCCTCACTGAACATATCCACAGTTCACGATGGCACAAACATTCAGCATCGCAATGCCCTGGAAGTACTGATTAAGCTTTGTTTTGGAGAGCTACCCTCTCTGCCATAATTTAGGCTGACAGCTCAAATCAAGCCAACAGGTCTAAGTCACCGTGACCCATGGGGAACAACTTTGTATGCACCATCTCACTCAGTCAGAGGCATACATCATTTAACTTGGGAGATGGTAGAGAAAGTTCATTTGTCCCAAATTAAGTTACCTAATTGGAACATGAATGGCCATTTTAACTGCCAGAGGGAGAACTCAATGGCATGTGCCTTCAGTTTTATAATTCTATGCAGCATGCCCTGTGGTGAGGACCCTCAGGGTCCTCACTGTGCAACTATTCTGCTACAGCAGACCAAGTCCTTTTGGAAAGCATCTTCATGTCTGGAGAGCAGGGCACTACAGGCACACACCCACAGTATGCTCTCCAACATTCTATGACAGAATGATGCAGAACTAATGTCACCTCAATCTCCATAATAATTTCTGGAGCCCACAGATCTGGCACACACAGCACTCCTCTTTCAACATGGAAGAAACAGACCCAAATCAGCTAAGGAACAGTGTTTGCTGAGGCCCCCATCAAAGGTTCCTTTCCTGGAGCCACACCACCCAAGAGAACAAGTCCCTCAATTGGCTGGTTGGAATGTCCCTAACCCTTAGAAAACTAGTCTGTCCTACTGGGCCTGACATAATCCCATCAGCCTGCACGGTTCAAAACAAAGCCTACAAAACCTCTTCAAGGGATACTGCTAAGCACACAGGTCAATACACAAGTATCTTTCCTCGGGATATTTCCTTCAGGTTGTGGCTCCACGAATACCTTAGCTTCTGTTAAGGAGACAACTTAGTTTCATTTATAGAAGTCTCAGGCTCGGGCCCTTTGAAAGAGCAGTCAAATTTATAACTGGGCTCCCCCAAGTGTGTAAGATTTTATGTCTTTCAAGCGTTATCGTTAGTCATGGCTCCATCTCATTTTTCTCTTTCTCCTTCTTCACATTTAATTGTAATCCACCACTTATCCTTTCTCTACATAGGCCACTTTTTTTTTTTTTTTTTTTTTTGGTCTTTTTGAGACAGGGTCTCCCTGTAGCCCTAGCTGGCCTGGATTCACTATGGAGACCAAGCTGGCCTCGAACTCACAGAGATCCGCCTGCCTCTGCTTCCCAAGTGCTGGGATTAAAGGCATGTGCCACCACGCCCGGCTACTTTCTTTTCTTTGCACAACAAGGTAAAGTACAAACAAATGGCATGACACCGAAGACCAAAAGAATACTGTACAGCAAGAGATGTGTGCCCAGGGACAACACGGCCTACTACAAGAACCTCTCTGCCTTCTTCCACATGGCTCTCACCTGATAATGTTTGCTCTTACCTGGAAAATAGGCAGGGATTAAAGTTGTATCTTCAAACTTCCTATCCTTCAGCCACTTTTTTAGCTCTATAAATTCAGACTTGTAGCTCTCATTCACTAACAGAAGAGAAGAAAATATGCCACCATTAAAATCATCGTATCATCAGATCACTATGTTAGAGGTATACATTTGATGAAGTAGATCAGACAGGCAGATCATAAAAGGGACTGAGTTTTACTAGAAAATGCCAATGTTACATGCTAAACAGAAAAACCATAAACTATGTTATCTTAATATATGCACAAAAGCATTTGATAAGTCCAACATCAGTCTGATAAAAATTCTCAATAAATAAAGACAAAAGGAAATGTCCACACAGCAGTGTGTAACAAAAACAAAGAGGCGGTGCTAGAAACATTCTGAGTCACAGAATGTCTTGCCTCGTGTGCGGGGACCCTGGGTTCAGTTCCCAGGACCTCCAAGTATAGAACTGCCACACTGATGCTGAAAGCTAAGATCAGGAACAAGGCAAGGATACCTGTCACTCCACACTAATCCAATGTTACATTGGCAATTTAACCAGCATAATTTGAGGAAAAATAAATAAAACGGATCAAACTGGAAAAATAAAACTGTCTTTATTTTCAGAAGCCATGAGCATCTACATAGACTAACAGTCCAAGACGGCTACCACAATAATAAATGAATTTAAGAATGCTGCAGGATTCAAAGTCAATACGTCAAACTTAATTGTACGTGTGTGTGTGTAAATATATATATATATATATATATATGCATATATATCCTAGTAAAAAATCAAAAATTTAAATTCCAGAAATTATGTAATTTGCAATAGCATTAAAAAACAGGAAAACCTTAAAAGATAGCTCCAAGAATATATGTGTGTTATATGGTATTTATATGTATTATATGTGTGTTGTATGTACTATATATGCATGGCATACATCAAAAGATACAAAACACTGCTGAGAATGTAAATAAAGTAGTAAGACTTTTAGATTGTTTATGCCCTACAAAAATTTATATGAAGCCTTCCCGAAATCACAGTATTTGGAAACAGACCCTGAGGTAGATAACTAGAGTTAGAAGTCATAAGGGTAGACCATTCCTAATGGGATTGATGACTTTATGAGAGAGAGGGGTGAGGGTAGCTCAGTGGTAGAGCATGGGCTTAGCAAGCATGAGGCCACAGGCTCAACCCCAGCACCACATCCTCAAAAACACTGCAAAGGGCAGAGACTCCTTACCATGAGGACACAGCTGCTACCAGCCTGGCAGACAGCCCTCACAGGAGCCACAGGAGCCTGCACCTCAGGTCAGACTCCAGCCTCTATTACGTCAAGAAATCAGCTATACTTTTTAATTCAACAGACCACACCATTTTGTTATTGAAGTCCAAGCTCATAACTAAACAAAAATAGATCCTCCCTGATGGAAAGCCAGACATGGTGACACACACTTGTAAGAATGTACACAGATTCCCAGCACTTGGAGGCAGAAGGATGAGAACTCTAAGACCAGCCTCAGATACATAGTAAGTTCAAGACCAGCCTTAGCTACATAAGACCCTGATTCAAAAAAATAAAGATATGGTAAGCCCTAGAACAATCACCAAGGAGAGAATAGTGGGGAAAAAAATACTGAAAAGCCTATTAAGAAATTAAAATACTGATTTAATATAAAAGAAAATACTATGGGAGAAACAGAGGGAAAAAAGCAGACATTAGACACAGAGGAAAAATGTGCAACTGGAAGATAGAAGAAATTCATCAAAAATCCATTTACAGGGCTGGAGAGATGGCTCAGAGGTTAAGAACACTGGCTGCTCTTTCAGAGGACCCAAGTTCAGTTCCCAGCACCCACATGGTAGCTAACAACCATCCACAACTCCAGCTCCAGGAGATCCAATGCCCTCTTCTGACCTCCGTTGGCATTGCAGGACACGGATGCACTTACATGTAGGCAATACACTCATAGACATAAAAATAAAAATAATTTTTTAAAAAATCCATTCAGGGGCTGGAGAGATAGCTCAGCAGTTAAGAACACTGACTGTTCTTGCAGAAGACCAGGGTTCAAATCCCAGCACCCACATAGCAGCTAACAACTGTCCATAACTCCAGTCCCAGGGGATCTGACAGTCTCTTCTGTCCTCCACGAGCATTGCACAACACGGATGCACTTACCTACGTGCAGGCAATACATGCATACACATAAAAATAAAAAGAATAAAATACAAAAATAAAAATCCATTCAGTAGGCTGGACAAAAACAAGACCAAACTATATCTCACCATCTGTAGGAGATTCTTTATATTCAAAGACAGAGATTCAAAGCAAAATGAGGCCAGCAGATCTTACATGCAACCCTATAAAAGCTGGGAAGACTAAAACACACTAAGTAGCAGGGTCAATGGCACAAACTGAACCCTCTAACACTGCAAGGCAAGGCCAACCTGTCCTTCATAGATAGACTTTCTCAGTAATCTAACAGAGCAGCAGCAAACTGACCAACACAGCATCTATCTCATTCAGACTGCATCATACTGAGTTATATCCACACACTGACGTCCTGTAGGTAACTAAAGGTCAAGACCAGAAGCAGAAACCTGGGGATCATCCAGAGAGAGGAAAAAGCAGGGGATGAGCAAAATATATTCATTCATGAATCAACCATGAATCAACTCATCCATCAACCATGGGCTCCTTTTTCTGTGACTGGCAGGGAGAAGCAGTGCTGTACCTCCTCTGGAGTCAGCACTTCTGCAGAGCTTCCGTCTTCTGATTCTGCTCGTCCTTCCTCTTCCCTTCTGCATCCTGAGACTGCGGCCTCTGTGCGCGTAGGCGTTCAATCTAAAACAAACAGCACCCTTGCCTTAATTTCTTGGTGAGGTTTTTTTTTTCCTTTAAAACATTTCTTTCAGGCCGGGCATGGTGGTGCAAGCCTTTAATCTCAGCATTCGGGAGGCAGAGGCAGAGGCAGAGGCAGAGGCAGAGGCAGAGGCAGGTGGATCTCTGTGAGTTCAAGGCCAGCCTGGTCTACATAGTAAGTTCCAGGACAGCTGGGGCTACAGGGAGACCCTGTCTCAAAAAAAACAAACAAAAAAATTTCTTTCCCTAAAAGCTTTGTACACCAAAACTTTTTTTTAATGTGTATGATCACCTGCATGTGTGTAAGTGCCCAGTGTCATCGGGCAGTGCCCTCAGAAGGCAGAAGAGTGTGTCAGATCCCCTGGAACTGGAGATATAGATGGTTGTTAGCCACTATGTGGGTACTGGGAATCAAACCCAAGTCCTCTGCAAGCGCACCCAGTGCTCTTAAACACTGAGCCACCTTTCCAGCCCCCTGTACACCAAAACTTTTTACAAAGAGTTAAATTAGGATTCCTGAGGTTACAAGCTCCCCTTGTTATATGGACCCCTCTTTTTGGTGGATCTCTGTGAGTTCAAGGCCAGCCTGGTCTACACAGTGAGTTCCAGGACAGCTGGGGCTACAGGGAGAACCTGCCTCAAAAAAAAAGACAAAAAAAAAAATTCATTTTAAGGCCTTGCTGAAACACTGATTAGACACGGAAATTCTCACAGCTGATTTCATAGATGTAATTCTTTGGTGACTTTCACATCTCAATCCTAGTCAGCATTTACTAAAACACCAACTTAACAGTACTCTAGAATACAGTAGTTATAAAGCCCCTGTCACTTTAGAAGTCTTAGGGAAAAAAATTAAGCCACATCAGTGTAAAATAAACCAATTTATTTTTAGATAGCAGATACCCAGATCTAGAAATAAATATAATCAAACGGACATTTGCAAGAGATTAGAGAAGCCAGGCGTGGTGGTGCACACCTTTAATCCCAGCACTTGGGAGGCAAAGGCAGCTGGATCTCTGTGAGTTTGAGGCCAGCCTGCTCTACATAGTGAGTTCTAGGCCAGCAGGGCTATAGGGATATAGGGAGACCCTGTCTCAAAAAGACAAAAAAAAAAAAAAAAAAAAAAAAAAAAAAAAAAACAAGCAAGAAATTAGAGAAAATGAAAGCCAAGAAGCAAGCAAAGCAGAGATGATCAGAAGATATAAAACGGCCACCCGTTTCTATGCTACTCTCTCAGAAGCAAAAAGAACAGAGCAGACCACCGTCATACAGACAACGGAGTGGGGCCGTTTGTGGGAATCAACAATAGGAAGCATTGCTTGGAAGATATATGCTAACATGCAAAATTATCCAGTAATAATTAAAAATAAAGCTGCAGAGTGTCACAAATTAAACACCCTTTTGGGGCTGACTTTGAGCAAAAAAAATGCATGTTTATATAAACCAGAAGACCTAAAGAAAGTTATCTGAAATGCATAGGGGCTGGAGAGATCACTCAGCGGTTAAGAGCACTGATTGTTCTTGCAGAGGACCTGGGTTCAATTCCCAGCACCCACATGGTGGCTAGCAACCCTCTGTAACTCCAGTTCCATGGGATCCCACGACTGCTGGTCCTTTTATATTTTGGATCCTACCCTGTACCTATGAGTACTAGGACATAATTTAAATACTACTTATATGTATTTAATACGCATATTTAAAAAATGCCAGTGCAGAAATGACCAACCAGTCAGTGTTAACCGTCCACCCCTGCCATGAAGGGCCAGCTCTAGCTCTACCCAAGGGCAGCCGGTGTGTTCCAAGCAGGCCTAGTCTTCAACGCGCCCCCAGCTAGGTGCACAAGAACCCTAAGTCCCACTTCCGGCCCTATCCCACCAGCACCCCAGTGATGGCCACGTGCTCGCACCGTCCGGGGCTCAGTCCTCCCTGCTGTCCCCACTTCCGCCTATCATCACCGAACTACTTAAGAGCGGCCGGGGTACCTTGCAATGCTGCGCAAGGGCGGTATTCGCTCCAAGCCCGACTTCCGGCCAGCGAGAGGTTACCCGGGAAAAGCCCAGCCCAGCCCAGCTCTCGTTACCCGGGCAACGCCATGCCGACCCGGAAGTCCTTCGGCTCACCTCGGCGTGGCCCGGCTTCACCGAGCGCGTGGTGGCGGGGCGGCCCCGACCTATGAAAACCCCGCCCGTCTCCGCCGCAGCTGGGGTCGCCGAGGCGCGCGCATGCGCAGTTTTCCCACGCCGGCAGACATTCTGCTGGGGACCAAGTACCCCAACCCACATCTTGAGCCCCAGCGATCAAAAGAGCCACCGGGGAGGTCCTGGCACACCTTGCCCCCCCACTCCTATGTACGCCTTTGTCTCGTCCCAGGACTGCTACTGGAGTTAAGGTCAAAGACAGGCTCAGCCTCCTGCCGTCTTTACAGAGAGGGATAATCGTGAAAAGCAGAGAAAAAAAATGTATTCGATGTGGTCGTGTTGGAAACAGGAACAAATAAAGAGGTTCAGGGGCACCCAAGTCCGACTGGGGTTACTGACATGAGGTTTGGGTTTAAATAGAGGGCAGGACTAAGCAGTCCTGCTCAAGGCCAGGTCCTGGTCATCATTAACACATGATTATCTTTGCCCAAGGTCCTGAAGATTGGAAGGGCTGTGTAAAAACTCGGGAGACAAATTCCTCCTCTGGCTGAGCCTTTTCCTTCCCCAGCAAGACTCCTGGGGAAATTCCAGGTCTTTGGGGTCCACTGTCTCAATACTCAGGTAGTGGGAAAGGCACGAATGTGTTTTAAGAATATCTTTGTTCCTAGACTGAGGCTGTAACTCAGTTGGAGTGCTTGCCTGCTACATCCTGCGTGGCCGGGTGGTGGTGGACACAAAGAGGGACCAGTATCCAATAATAAAATATCACACACAAACAATGTAATATTTAAGAAAGCTAGGACCAGGGGTCTCCTGTTCCATTGAAGAGCTCTGAGTTTTTAACTAGGTTTCATTCACAGGGATGGGGTGCTCTAGCAGGCATTCAGGAACAGGTGTACAGATCAAAGGACCTTTCTCTGCAGGAGCTGAGGAAACGATTAGCAATAAAGTGTGGCCTGTTTGTAAAGTACAGAGTAGATACTCACACAGCATTGTAAACAAGGCATAGTTTGTAAAGGACACTGCACTTCAGAAAGTAGACACTCTTGGCTACTGGTGACTCTGCACTTGTAGTCGCATGCTTTCTGCAGCGTTCAAAGAGGGCAGTTGTCTCCAACACTTGCCTACCACTTGCACCGAGTCCTGGGTTCAATCATCAGCATGGTGCATGCGTGTAATCCCAGTATTCTGGAAGTAGAGGCAGGAAGAGCAGGATTTCTGAATCATTACTGGCTGCAGAGTGAATTCTGGGCTACTTGAGACCCTGTCTGAAAAAAGAAAGAAAAAAAAAAGGATTTATTTCTGCAAAGACTGTTTTACAGGAACAACACTGCAAGAGAATTCTAAATAATTTATGTAAATACTCCTTCCAAGATTGTTGGCTCAATTTCTGTCCCACCTACCTTGACTATGGACCAAGCTTCCTAACTTGCTTCCCAAAAGTGCAGAACAGGAAGGAGAGGCTGGATGGTAAGTGGCTTCACTGTGGTCCTAAATCATCATTCATGATGCTCTTCTTCCACTTTGGAAGAGTTCCAGATGGTTGTTAGCCACCATGTGGACTCAGGTCCTCAGCAAGAGCAGTGGGTGCTCTTAACAGCTGAGCCAACCCTCCAGCCTCAATACCTGTGTGATATTTTTACTATAATTTTGCAAATACATATAACCTCTCTATTATTTCTTATTCCATGTGACTCTCTATCTCAATAAAAAATTCAAGCTTTCCTTAATTTAAAAAAATATTTTGTGTGCATACACACACGATGTGTATATGTACACAGCAGTACAACATTCATGTAGATGTAGAGTCAGTTCTCTCCTTCTTTACAGTTTCCTAGGATCAACTCAAGTTGCTGGGCTTTCGAGTCAAGTACTTTTGCCCACTGTGCCCTCTCACCTTTGAAGCCCCCTTTTTCCTGATTATTAACATTTGTTAAGCATCTGACAGGAAACCTACCTTAAATGACAATTTAAATGCAGTCTATTTAAGGAAATAGACTCTTTTGCAGTGAGCAGTGAGTTTCATATGTGGTCAGTGCAACTAAAATCTCTTACATTTATTTTAATTTTAATTTAAATGTCCGTTTACAGCTAGTAGCTACCTACTGAAAAGCAAGGACATGAAAGTACGTCCAGCGCTGAAAGTGACACCCAGTGAGGAAATTCATTTCCCACCGCTGAACTAATTATAAACTTTCTGAGCATGGGGGTATCACTTCATCTTAAAATGGGTATTAAAGGTGCATCGTGAGCTATTTTGAGCATAAACGAGCAGCCCTGCTTGAGGCCCCTCACATCTGTGCAGTAAGTGCAGTCCTCAAATCCAGGTAAGGAAACCTCAGAACCTGGCAAAGTTCCCACCCAAGTAGATTAGCCTCAACTTTGCTTTAGCGTCCTAAGAAATTCAACACCAATTTCAATCCCTCGTCATTTTGCACCAGCTCCTACCACAACGCTGGTTCCAAAGATGCAAGTTGCAATATATATTTTTTAAAGAACACCAGAAAGACTATGTACAGAGGCCCCGTTTGCAATAAAATTATACAGAGCTATAAAGTCGGGCAAATGCAACACAAAACTCAGACTAGCAGGGAGGAAGGGGTGGATACAGATCTGGTCACAGGGCCAATTTGAATGCCTGCCACGTGGACAGCTGCCAGGTGGACAGACTCTGGAGGATTCTCCGTGGCTCAGGTTCTGAAGCCTTCCTTGGCGGCTTCCCTTCCCTACGGAAAACCCTAAGGGTGCTCATAATCCGACCCAGTTTTTCTGCAGCAACATCCAGCATTCAGCATGCTCGGAGCACGACAAGACGCGGGGCGCCGTTCTTTCCTGGGAAGCTTTTGCAAAACTTAGCTAAGTACTGGGGAGTGGGTCACATCCAGAAGCTCCGAAGCTTGCGGCTGAGTCTGGTCCTCGCACTGGACGCCCGGGACTCCTCGCCAGTCTCCAGCCAGGCCACGCCCACTGGGGGGCGGGACCTCAGCCTGCGCCTGCGCACTGGGCGTGCCCGCTGGCACCCGGGACCTGCTGCAGCTAGAAAAGCTCGCTGCCAACCTCCGCCGTGAAAGCCGTTCCCCGACTGCGTCCGCCGCGCTCCCAGCCATGACGTCCTGCAGCCGCGTGGCGCTGGTGACCGGAGGCAACAAGGGCATCGGCTTCGCGATCACTCGTGACCTGTGTCGGAAGTTCTCCGGGGACGTGGTGCTCACGGCCCGCGACGAGGCGCGAGGCCGGGCCGCGGTGCAGCAGCTGCAGGCGGAGGGTCTGAGCCCGCGCTTCCACCAGCTGGACATCGACGACCTGCAGAGCATCCGCGCCCTGCGCGACTTCCTGCGCAAGGAGTACGGGGGGCTCAACGTGCTGGTCAACAGAGGGGGAAGGGGGGCCCCAGAGCCTGGAGGGTGGGCTGTGCATGTCTGGGCAGTGCTGGGGCGGGGGCATTCTGACCTAGTGGGGGTGCAACAGGTCCCCGGGGCTACAGGGTTACCTAACTAGGACCAGTGGGGGGCGGGCATTTGCGGGTCTCGGTCTTAGGCTTAAGGAGTGGAAGTTTATCTGACATTGAAATAAACAGAGAGTTGAAGAGAGGCAGGTGCTGCATCAAGACCCTGCTCTGCAGCGCTCACCCAGCCTCCCCCAGTGATGCTATCTTTCAAAAACAGTAGGACATTGTGAAGAGATGGACGCTGGTGCGGTGCTGCCATTGAATACAGACTTTACTCAGAAGTCAATATATTTCGAATGCACTGTTAGGTTTGTGCTGTTCCGTCCCATAACTCCTATTCATTTATCCTGTTCTCTTTCTCCCCTAAAAGATGCAGACCCCACACCCTTTCACATTCAAGCAGAAGTGACCATGAAAACTAACTTTTTTGGTACCCGAGATGTCTCCACGGAGCTACTCCCTCTAATAAAACCCCAAGGTGAGTCTGGTGGGTGGTCGGCCATGCCTGCCTGGGACTTCTGCCCTTGCTTCCTGACCGGCTCCAGCTACAGGAGTCTCTTTGCCACCAGTAGGTGTGGCTCTGCTACCTTCGCCCTCATCTCCAGAGGCTGTTGCTTTCCTCTTTGCATGCACACCTGGCTCCTTTTTAACATCAACTCTTGGTTCCTGGGTCCGTTTGTTCCTCACACATCAGGGGCCCTTAGCCTTTTGTTTTGTAAACAGGGTCTCAGTCTGCAACCCTGGCGGGTCTAGAACTCACTACCATAGACCAGGCTGGCCTCGAACTCACAGAGATACACCTGCCTCTGCCTCCCAGCGCTGGGACTAAAGTCATGCGCCACCACATCTGACTGAGAGGTCCCTAGGATTCTATTCCTCCCTAAAGCATTTTGGTCACTTACCCACATCCTGCTGGTCACAATGCCCTGCCCCTACAGGACCTCTTCCCAGGCCCTCAGACTCTACTACTGATCACACCATGCACCCCCAGTCCACCTCTGCAGTGGGCCTTGGTGGTCAGATCACACAATTCCAAACCCTCCTGGGAGGCCTCCTTTCTTGAGCATCTTCCTTTCCTGGGTTTCTGCATGGTCTGCCCAACTACTCCCCTCCCAAAGAACCTTCCAGAGAAGGCACAGCGTTTTAGCATGCCCACAGGGATCTCCATAATCAGCCCCTTCCTTCCTCCAGGCTCATGTTAACACCCCATCCACACGCTCCATGTTCTGCAAAATAATCACATTACTTTATCATGAGCTGCTCTAATACCCCATGTGATTTGGATACCAGGTGAACGACCAATCATTAAATGCTCAATAGTAAGGACAGGTGAGCCAGTTTAGAAATGTGAACTATTTGGCTTAACAGTTGAGTGCATACGTGGCTTTCCCTAACTCCTGTCCTGTTTCCAATCTGGTTCTCCTTCATAGCTCCAGTGTCTCTAAGACTGTTCTCTAGAACCCCAAAGGGCAGCCAATTCCCCTGACACCTGATATCTCTACCCACCCTTCCTTTTCCAAGGAAGGAGTACAGTTCCTTATGCAACCTCAGTAGTCTGTGTGTATACTCCTCTCTACACCTATCTCAAATGGAAACTTGCTGATCTGAACCCCCCCCCCCATTTAGTGTCCCTGCATAGTATGCTCCTCTCCTCATAGCAATTCATTCTGTCTTCTAGGCAGAGTGGTGAATGTATCGAGCATGCTGAGCATTTCAGCCCTGAAAAAATGCAGCCCAGAGCTGCAGGAGAAGTTTCGAAGTGACACCATCACAGAGGAGGAGCTGGTGGGGCTCATGAACAAGTTTGTGGAAGATACAAAGAAAGGCGTGCATGCAAAAGAAGGCTGGCCCAACAGTGCGTATGGGGTGACCAAGATTGGGGTGACGGTGCTGTCCAGAATCCATGCCAGGAAGCTCAATGAGCAGAGGAAGGGGGACAAGATCCTCCTGAATGCCTGTTGTCCAGGGTGGGTAAGAACTGACATGGCAGGGCCCTCGGCCACCAAAAGCCCAGAAGAGGGAGCAGAGACCCCCGTGTACTTGGCCCTTTTGCCACCAGACGCAGAGGGGCCTCACGGACAGTTTGTTGAGGAGAAACAAGCTAAGCCGTGGTGAACTCACTTCACGATTCCTCCCACAGCCTCACCTTTGTGCCCTGTCCCGATTCGGGCCAAAAGACATTTACTTTGTCAGCTTATCCTTATCCAAACAAGCTGTGTTAACTCACTACTAGTTCAGCAGTCTACTTACAGTGTGGCCTTTTAATTTTATGACGATTTTTGTGATTCCCTCTGTGATACCAAAAGAAAAAGTAGATTGTGGAAATAAATAAAAATGACTTGACTGATTCTTTATACACATCCATTTCTGCAGATTCTTGTCAAGCAGAACCAGCACACCATCTCAGGAGTTTAATGAGTGTGAAAATTAGGGTTAGGGAAGGCACAAGAGAACTCTCAGAACCAAGTAGACAGACAGCTCTGTGGTTCCTGCAGTGTGTGCCACCTTTCCAGGTGTGTTCTGTGACAGGAAGGTGGACACACTGAAAACCAAGGAGGACAGCTAGATGTGGCCCTTGGGCTTAGGTTTAGCAGCCCCTAGAAAGCACCAAGAAAGCAAAGCATCCAGTCCAGCTTCTTTAAAGAGCTTGAGCCGTGGACAACCAACCATGGCAGTGAGTGAAAAGCGAGTGGTGCTTGTAGGAAGCGCCTGACTGCTTACTGTTAGGGATCTATGAGGAACGTTATTAAGACTCCCTGATGTGAAGGGGTTCTGTATGCAAGCGAGAAGAATCCTCAAGCCAGCATGGTTACCAAGTTTCAGGAGAATACAGAGAAATGAACAGTATACAAAGTGGTCAAGACTACAGTGCACAGGTAGATATATGGGTGTCTTCTGTGTGTGTGTATGTGTGTGTGCACGCACATGAAAACTTAAAGGTGCTATCCTTCAGGTGCTGTCCAATCTTGTCGGGTTTTTGTTTTGCTGGTTTGGTTTTGTTTGGGGGTGTTTTGGGGGAGGGGTGTTTTTTCAAGAAGGTCACTTACTTGCAAGGAACATACCAAACGGACTAGCCTGGCTAGCCAATTATCCCTAGGAATCTGGCTGGCTCTGCCTCCTCAGCGCAGAGATTACAAGCGTACGCCGCCTTGGCCAGCTTTTTTTACATGCATTCTGGAGCTCTAATTCAGGGGCTCATCCTTGCAAGGCAGCACTTTACCAACTGAGCTAAACTCAGCCCGCATGGATATCTTCTGTACAATTTTTTTCTTCTTTCTACCTTGTGTTGAAAGCTTTCAAACCATGGGGAGAGGCTAGGACACTGCTCAGTCATAGAGTGCATGCCTTGCATGCCTGAGACCCTGGGTTTGATTCCGAGGACAAGGATGAAAAACCAAGGGGAAGAAATTCCTGACTTTACCTGTTAGTGCCTGCCTGAGGCAGGATGACTGAATCTTGCTGTGTCATTAGCCATCAAGTGACAATAGTACAGCATGTCATAATTTACGTGTTGAAACAGTGTCAGACATGTGGGCATGCATGGTGTGTGCTGTCATCCCACACTGTGATTGGGACTTAAAAAGAGCACATGCCCACTGCCCGTCACCCAGAAGGGCTCTGGTGGTCATCGGGAGCCGCCCATACCTTCTGTCCCAAGGACCACCATCTGATCCTTCACCAGTGGTTTCCAGGCTCAAGAATCTGAAGCGATCATCCCTGAAAACAAGATGGAGCCCTTAAAGGGAGGATCGATTTACAAATTTCAGCCTTCAGCAGCCTTCATTTCCTCCTAGCCGTTTTGGTTTTGTTTTGGCATTTTGGGTGTGTTTGTGGGGTCTTTTGTTTGGTTTTTTTTTTTGGTGGTGGTGGTGCTGTTTTACCAGAACATAAGTTTATTTCAGATATAACAGCCGTGTTAAAATTAAGAATTAAGTTTAATTCTTAATTGCACCAAGTAAACTTAGCCATTTAAGTATTTTTAAAGTTATTCCCTCCAAAAACTGAGAGAATTTTTCTTTTCCTCCACCACACACCACTGTTTCTCAATAGTTCTCTCTTTGGAGGACTTTCCATTCATGAGCAAACTGCTTTGGAGAGCCTTAGGAACTCCTGTCTCCAAACGAGGATTAACCTTGACACAATATGTATTGCATAGATTTCTCTATGGATTTTCTTTATAACGCAAATGCAAATAGCATACAGAATAATTTTAACCTATTTACCCCATGGTAAAAACTGTCCTAAAAAACGTGGATATAGCCTATTGTCTTACAGTTAATAGAATAATAGAATAGAATAATAGAATAATAAATATAAAAAAATAAATATATAAAAACATGGATATAGCCTATTGTCTTACAGTTAATAGAATTATTATTTTGCCTCAAAGATTACTTTTATTATTTATTTAAAAAAAAAAACTCAACTGGTCTTACTTTAGATTTTATTGACTCACAGGCATATTGATGAGAGCCCAGTTTCTACCTCTTCCACATTTTTCTCTTATGTAAGTGGATGGAATTATTTAATGCAAGTTTGATACAGGACAATTGGCCCTTTACGCACACTTAAAATTTAGGTTAAACCACTGTCTAGTATAGGAAAAAAAGTTATAATTAAAGAAAAGATGAGAAAAAAATTACAACAAACTTCTTTAGGTCAGTTAAAGGCCTTTATCTTGGGGCTGGAGAGGTGACTCAGCAGTTAAGAGCACTGGCTGCTCTTGCAGAGACCTAGATTCAGTTCCCATCACCAACATGGCAGCTAACAACCATCCACAACTCCAGTTCCAGGGGAATCTGACATCCTCTTCTGACCTCCACAGGCATTGCTCAACACAGGTGCACTTACACACAGGCAGGCAATACACTCATACACATAAAATAAATTCCATTATCTCTAATTGGGATTTTTTTGGGCGGGGGGTCTTTTTGAAGCAGGGTCTCCCTGTAGCCCCAGCTGTCCTGGAACTCACTATGTAGACCAGGCTGGCCTTGAACTCACAGAGATCTGCCTGCCTCTGCCTCCCTAGTGCTGGGACTACAGGCATGTGCCACCATGCCCGGCTTGGGGTATTTTTAAAAATTCATCTCACTAGCCCATACTCTACAGGTGAATGATTCTAGTAATAAGTTTAATAGCGGGAAAAAATAAACCTGCTAACAACCAACCACTCATTAGCAAAACAGCAGTTTAACAGAAATACTTTGGCCAAAGTATAACAGTACCTACCCAAATTGCCCCATCCATCAGCAAATAGAGGGGAAAAACTGCTTTTAAAACCTAAATAAGCTGGGGCTGGAGAGATGGCTCTGCAGTTAAGAACACTGACTGTTCTTGCAGAAGACCCCGGTTCAAATCCCAGCACCTACATGGCAGCTAACAACTGTCCATAATTCCAGTTCCAGGGGATCCAACAGCCTCTTCTGTCCTCTGCGGGCATTGCACGGCACGGGTGCACTTACCTACATGCAGGCATAACACGTGTACACATAAAATAAAAATAATTTTTAAAAAGTAAGCTTCATGTTTCTTAGAAGGATAGTAATGGTTCAACTCCTGAAGTGCTCAGAACTAAAGATAGAGTGAAGGAAATGTCCAGGGATCTGCATCCCACAGATAGTCTATAAAAACTCAAAAGTACCTCAAATACACTAAACTTGTCTAGGAATTTGAGAACAGGGTATAATGGCTGCTGCTTTCTGTCTCTGGAAATAGAGCTGAAAAACGCATCTTAACTGTGAAACTGCATAGATCTGCCTTATCCTCCCTTCGACCACCTCACAAAAATAAGAGAACTAAAATAATCCAAACATGAGCATCCTTAAGAGTCCTTGGAAGGCTGGAGAGACAGCTCAGTGGTTAAGAACGCTGGTCGTTCTTGCAGAAGACCCGGGTTCAAATCCCAGCATCCACATGGCAGCTAACAACTGTCCATAACTCCAGTTTCAGGGGATTCGACATCCTCTTCTTTTCTTCACGGGCACTGCACGACACAGGTGCACTTACATGTAGGCATAACACTCATACACATAAAATAAAAATAATAGATAAAATATTTTTTTAAAAAAGTCCTTGAAAGGATTAAAACTTTAGGGGTCAACAATAACAAGGAAGGAGGAAACCTCCTCAAAGGGGGCAGGGACATCAGTGCTTCTCTTATTTGGCGACGAGCAAGTGCAAGAAAGCCTGTTTGTGATTGTTCAGTTGTCTGTCTTTTGTGTGTCTGCACTCTGGCCAGAAGAACTTTGAGGTCTTTCTGAAGCACATGAGCATCTGCAGGCTCTTCATCTTATAATAGTTCTTTTTTTTGTGGCGGGGGGGGGGGGTCTCAATAATCTCAAAGCCGATCTTCAATTGCTGACTCATTGCTGATCTGGACATGCTGGCAGATGTGGTCAAAAGTGCCGTCTCTCACAGATGTTTAGGACACGATTTAACATTTTCACTCCTAGTCCACGTCTTGGATAAGGTACAAGACATCCTAGTGTCATGATGTAAAGTCTCTTCTGATTCTGTGAATGATCCACCATACAATACACTGCACCTATTATTGAAATAGGCTAGTTCACCAACTACCAGACCATCCTTGTAGAGCCTGTCATTATAGCTGACTATAAAGATAACCTGGTTCCAGCTTTCAACTGTTTAATGTTGTGTGGTATCACATCTCCCAGCTCCATCTGACTACCTTTGATCTTCCCTGCCTGCTGAATCCATCCTCCTCACCGCCCTGAGCTCTCAGTGACCTTGGCTTAGGCCGCTCAACCCCACACACCAGACACTCTGCTCCTCCCCGTAGCCACCACCAGCCTTCATTTTGTCTTTGTAAACAGACACCACAAGATCAAGATAAAACTCAAGACTACAGTGTTTCAAGTACTAGTTGGAAATGTATACTTGAATTGCAAAGATGTTTTTCCTTAATACTTTGCATTGGTAAGAGCTTTAGAGAAAGCATTCCAAATTGAAATATGTGATGTTGCCTCTGAGAGGACACAGTTATTCGGTGTTTCTAAGGGTTTGTTTCTTAAGATGAAGGATAAGGTACATGATACTAAAAGTTTCAGAAAATGGTAAAATTATGACTGTCGAAGATATAAACTTAAGCTTATATTAAACACATGTACAATTACTCTTATGGTAGAAGGGACCCAGGTAGGGATGTTATAGGCAGTTCAAACGCAAAGCTTAACAGGGCTTAGATTTACATGGAATGAAAGTATATTAGATTAAAGTACAAATAAAGGTAAAACCAGTGTTCCCAATGTAAAGGAAGTCACTTAAATCTCTGCTAAGTAGGACAGCATTTATACTTCTATCCATCACTTAATTCAGAAGCAGTTGCAAAATGTCTCAG